CATAGGAAAATTATGACGACCGGGTCCGGTGTGCAATCAAAGAGTTGGCAAGCGCGCAAGTTAGTTGGAGAGGGCGGTAAAGTGAGTAAATAACTTTCCAAAGAACTATTTCGTTCCCTTCCCTGGATGACGACGACGACGACGACGAGGACGAAGGCATTGCGTTCGGTTGTTTGTGCTGCTGCTTCAGACCTAATCCTCTTCCTGCTTCTGACGACGATGGACGGTGACAGTTACGGTGTGTATAATGAGAATTATTATAAGTTTATCCAACGTAAATAAAACCAGAATTTATTGCTTTTCTGACAGACTGGCTGCGGCCGAGAAGCGTACTCGTCTCCAGTGCAGCTGGAGTAAAACAACAATAAAGATTTTATTGTCTGCCCTCACCGATGCGATGGCCGGTCCTACACTAACTACTATGCGCTTAACTGGTTCGCTTCACTGTTGCCCCCACGTTTGTTATTGCACTTCACTATACTAGTAAGGTAAATGTTCGTATATTATTTACATTAAATTATTAATAGTACTTGAATCAATGAATACATTGAAGCAGGTCTAACGTGTTCTAAGATGCCTAGTCTAAGTTCATCCAATGCTAATTTTGTTTACATTAGCTTTCAAATTCATTTGGTTTTTTATCTAATTTCCGTCCGTGCTTAGTACAACCCGCATTTTAAATCTCTTTGTTGCCACAGGGGCACTTGCTCAACCGCCCGGCGAACTGGCAACCGGTCCAATCAACTGTGCCTAGCAGACCGCCAGTCTATGTGCGACGGGATGATCGACAGCATAAACGTCACCTAAAAAAAGACGTCATCCTTTGAGTCAAGCAGACGAAGAATCACGCGGGTGAAAAGTATTTTTCTTAAACTAGTGCCTAAATAGTTCGTTTCTTAATCTAGTTTCCTATTGTTGCGTACGGTAAATAATCCCAAATCCACAGGGTGAATTTAAACCTAATTATACTGATTTCTACCTAGACTAACACTAAAACTAGGACTAAAGCTAAGTTGGACAGCCAGTGAAAAGGCCTGTGAAGGAAGGGCCACTGATTTGTAAGTGGTAACCTATAAATCTAAACCTACATTGCTAAACTAACCCTAACTTAAATTTCTAGTTTGAAGCGATCCTAAAAGGAAATAAACGCTGTTCAATAACAGTGCCGCGCCTTTTTATTTAGCCGTCCCAACATCTTCAAAAAATCATCGAGCAGTTGCCGGTTCCCGCAAGAGATCCGGAGATGGTACAGCACGGCGATTGTGTAGCCTGCGACAATCCAGATGCCGATGAAAATTATGTGCAGTGCGATGGGTGTGATCTGTGGTGGCACTTTTCGTGTGCTGGTGTGACGGAGTCCGTCAGTGACCGAGCGTGGATGTGTTCGAACTGCACTGCATCACCACCACCAAATCCACCCCCACCAGGAAACATCTCTTCGAGCAGCTGTACAACCAACGTACAACGCAATCTTGCCCTGTTGAAGCAACGCCAGGAGCTCGAACGACAACGAATGGAGCATGAACTGCAGAAGAAATTTTTGGACGAGCAGTTGGAGCTGATGGACAAGGCGATTGAATCCCGGAGTCGGGTAAGCAATCGCGAACGACGAGAAAGAGTTGCCGATTGGATCAGCAATCATCCGGAGCAAGAAGACGCGCGAATCCGCTCAGCCCGCGGATGTAAACGATCGCGACATAGTGGCAACTTTACACGATCTCGAAAAGCAGCTTGAACGCTGCCAACTACAATCAATTCCAACCAGTCAGCAAATGGAGGAACTGCGACGTGAACTGCAGCAGTGCAAAAGGCAGCTTGGATTAGACCCAACCGATTGGAACATCAGCCCAACGATCGGTCAGAGGAATTTCCCGAATCTATCCAGCGACGTACAACAAGGTAATCAGCAGCCAAGGAACCTTGGTGCCTACCCGAAAACGCATGCCAATGAGGTTGGCGGTGCAGGTAAGAGTAACGATAGTGGTTTCCTCAATAAAATGTACGGTGGTAATGTCCCTCATAAGTCCTTCGCGATCCTTTTCGAAACGGTTCCCATTGCTACGAGGGAACAACGGTTTGATTCTCGCGATTTCGGGCAAAATACCCTCGATAGTCGCCAACAGCAACGCATCCCCTTCGTCAACAACGAACAGCAGCGTGAACCCTTCGCGCGTACAACGAATATGAACGTACAGCCTACGTCGTTGGAGGAGTGGTATCATCGGCAGCAGCAGCAGCAGCAGCAGCGATTGAACGCTAACCAGAACGGTCCGTCACCGCATCAGCTTGCCGCACGTCAATCGTTGGCGCGCGATCTGCCACAGTTTGCGGGTGATCCCGCGGATTGGCCTATGTTCATCTCCAACTACGAGTATACGACGGTGTCGTGTGGGTACACGCACGGGGAGAACATGCTCCGACTACAACGGTGCCTCAAAGGACCCGCTCTCGAGACGGTGCGCAGTAGGTTGGTATTGCCTGTTGCGGTACCACATGTAATCGAGGCACTTCGTATGCGATATGGACGCCCGGAGCTGTTGATTAACGCGTTGCTGGAAAAGGTGCGGAAGATTCCCGCTCCAAAGTCGGATAAGCTGGAAGGGCTGATCGAATATGGAATGGCAGTGCAAGCCCTTTGTGACCATATCGAAGCAGCCAACGAACATGCACACCTGTCGAATCCGATGCTTCTTCAGGAACTTATCGGAAAGCTACCAGCCGACCAGAAGCTTATGTGGGCCGGGTACAAGCGAAGTCTCGGCGTGGTGAATCTGAAGACATTCAGCAGATACATGGAGAACGTCGTCAGTGATGCATCTAGTGTGGTGCTGTTCGAACCGGAGTCTTGCAGGAGCAAGGACAAACCAAAGCCGAGAGGGTACGTTAATTCCCACACCGGGAACGCCGTTGATGATCAGCCGTCGGTAGCAAGCAAGCGAATCGAATGCATCTTCTGCAGTAAGGTGGGGCATCGGTTGCGCGAGTGCTCGGGATTCAAGATTTTGAATGTCGACGATCGCTGGCGAAAAGTTAGAGCTTTGTCGCTATGTCAGATTTGTCTATTCAGTCACGGAAGGCGGTCGTGTAGAAGCAACAACCGTTGCAATATCGATGGCTGTCAGTATCGCCATCATCCGTTGCTGCATTCAACAAGACGAACTGCAGCAGCTACTGCGCCAACAGAACAGGCAGAGAGTCATACTCATCAGTACCTCGGATCAAGCGTTCTGTTTCGGATCGTGCCTGTTACGCTTTATGGGCAAACTGGTGAGGTGAATACGTATGCTTTCTTGGACGAAGGATCATCGCTGACTCTGATGGAGAACGATATTGCAGAGCAACTCGGAGTAAATGGAACTACTCAGCCATTGTGCTTACGATGGACGGGTAATACGTCCAGAATCGAAGAAAAGTCGAAAGTTATCACCATCACTATCGGTGGAGCCGGTTCGCAGAAACGGTTCAAGATGTCGAACGTTCGTACCGTGAATAATCTGAACCTTCCCAGCCAGACCTTCCAATTGGTGGAAGCCGTGAAGCAGTTTGACTATCTCAAGCAGCTACCGATACAGAGCTACAAGAACGCCGTACCTAAGCTGCTGATAGGACTTGACAATCTACAATTAGCTGTTCCATTGAAGTCGAGGGAAGGTAACGGAAATGGACCAGTTGCGGTAAAGACCAGACTCGGATGGTGCGTCTACGGTAAGCAACAGCCTGGATCGAAAAGTGAATTCAGTTTCCACGTTTGCGAGTGCACGACGAATAAGGAACTACATGATACTGTCAAGCAGTTCTACGATCTCGAGGAAGTGGGAGCAGGAAATGTCACCCTACGATCTAAAGAAGAACAGCGAGCACTGGATTTGCTGGAGCAGACAACGGTTCGTGTCGGTGAGCGATTTGAAACTGGACTGCTGTGGAAAGATGACGATGCGGAGCTGCCAGATAGCTACACGATGGCACTTCGCAGGCTGGAATGCCTGGAAAGGAGGATGTCACGGGATAAAGCGTTGAAAGAGAACGTTTTCCGGCAGATGCAAGAGTTCGTAAGCAAGGGTTACATTCATAAAGCCACAACGGACGAACTCGAAGATGCGAATCCTCGCAGAATCTGATACCTCCCTGTGGGGGTTGTGACCAACTCGAAGAAACCAGGGAAAATACGCATCGTTTGGGACGCTGCTGCCAAGGTGGACGGAGTTTCACTAAACAGCATGCTGCTAAAAGGGCCGGACCAGTTGGTGTCGCTGTTAGGAGTATTGTTCCGCTTCCGGCAGTTCAAGATTGCGGTGTGCTCTGACGTGAAGGAAATGTTCTTGCAGATTCTGATGCGCGCGGCTGACAAGCATTCACAGCGAATCCTGTGGCGTTTGGATCCAAGTCAGGACCCGGAAATATTCCTGGTAGATGTTGCAACGTTTGGGTCGACATGCTCACCAGCGTCGGCACAATTCGTGAAAAATACGAACGCTCGGGAGCACAGTGTTCGATATCCCAGAGCAGCGGAAGGAATACTGCAGAGCACGTACGTGGACGATTACCTCGATAGCTTTGGGTCGGAAGAAGAAGCTCTTCGTATTTCTGAGGAAGTACGTCAGATTTTCCGGAACGGTGGGTTCGAATTGAGGAACTGGATCTCGAACAACGAAGGTGTTCTGGAGCACCTTGGGGAGACTCAAGCAGCTACCAGTAAAAGCTTGATAACTACGAGCACCACTACTGAACGTGTGCTCGGGATGTTGTGGGACCCAGTAACGGACGAACTATCGTTCAGCACTCGAATGAGCGATGAAGTTCAATCTCTCCTGGAAAATGACAAAATACCAACGAAGAGGCAAGTGTTACGCTGCGTCATGACTCTGTTCGACCCGTTGGGTTTATTGGCCACATTTCTGATCCACGGCAAGATTCTGGTGCAGGACTTGTGGCGCGCTGGAACCGCATGGGATGAAGAAGTCGGTGGAAATCAGTATGGAGAATGGTGAAGGTGGATCAAGATGATTTCGTACATCGCGAACGTTCGCATTCCTCGCTGCTATTTCCCAGAAGCGTCAGCCCGTTCGTATGAAGTTACTGAACTTCATGTCTTCGTAGATGCCAGTCCGCTTGCGTATTCCTGTGCGCTGTACCTGAGGACAATCACCGCTGACGGCACACCCCAGTGCACACTGATCGCTGCAAAGGCCAAAGTAGCACCACTCAAGCCAATGACTATACCGAAGCTGGAACTTCAAGGATGTCTCCTGGGAACAAGAATGATGAAGTTCGTGCAAGCAAACCACTCCATTACCATCAGAAGACGAGTCTTGTGGACGGACAGCTCCGTCGCGCTTTCGTGGATCCGCGCAGATCCTAGAAATTATCGACCGTTCGTGGCCAACCGGGTCGGCGAAATTCTCGAAAATACAACAGTCGATGAGTGGAGATGGGTTCCGTCGGGGTTTAACGCAGCAGATGAGGCAACAAAGTGGGGAAGTGGACCTTACTTCAGTAGTGACAGCAAGTGGTTCAACGGACCGGAGTTCTTGCGCTTCCCGGAACATGAATGGCCGAATTCTACGGATCTAGTCGTGGATACGGCCGAAGAAGTTCGATCGTCAGTACTCTTTCACGCAACTTGGGAACCTGTGATCGCCTACGAGCGTTTCTCTAAATGGGAGAGGTTGCAGCGTAGTATGGCTTACGTGCTACGATTCATTTTCAACGCGACCAAGAAGGGAGAAAGACGCAGTGGTCGATTAACTCAACCTGAGCTGGATGATGCCGAAAATGAAGTCCTGAAGCAGGTCCAAAGAGAAGCCTTTGCGGATGAGGTAACGACGCTTAAAAATAATCAAGTACTACCGGAGGACAAGAAGGAATCGATTGACAGATCGAGCATCGTTTACCAACTGATGCCAATGATGGATGAACGGGGTTTGATGCGCCAAAACAGCCGGATTGCAGCGGCGAAGGATATTCATCACAGCGTGCGCTTTCCAGTAATCCTGCCAAGAAAGCATCGGTGCACGGAACTTCTGGTCGCACGCTATCATCGGCTCTACCGTCATGCAAACTCCGAAACGGTAGTGAACGAAGTACGCCAGCTGTTCATCATACCGAAACTGCGATCGGTGGTAAAGCAGATTGGACGAAGCTGCCAATTCTGCAAAATTCGTAAGGCACTCCCGACTATTCCTCCGATGGCACCACTGCCACCAGCACGGTTAGCCGTACACGACCGTCCATTCAGCTACGTAGGAGTGGACTACTTCGGCCCATTGTTAGTCAAGCAGGGCCGCTCGAATGTGAAAAGGTGGATTGCGCTCTTCACTTGCTTGACTGTGCGCGCCGTTCACCTTGAAGTGGCATACAGCCTATCAGCTGCGTCATGTATTTGCTGCATCCGAAGGTTTGTCTGTCGCCGAGGATCACCGGTGGAGTTTTTCAGTGACAATGCTACGAACTTCCATGGGGCTGAACGACAGCTCCGTGAGCAGATCAACGAAGGAGTATCAGCAACGTTCACCAGTGCTAACACGAAGTGGACCTTCATTCCGCCAAGCGCTCCGCACATGGGCGGTGCATGGGAGCGACTCGTCCGTTCAGTGAAGACGGCGATAGGGGATGCGTACCGCGAAGGAAAACTCAACGATGAAGAGCTGCAGACCTTGATCGTGGAGGCAGAGGGCATTGTAAACACCAGACCACTTACGTACATACCACTTGATTCAGCGGAATCAGACGCTCTTACGCCGAACCACTTTCTACTCGGGAGCTCGAATGGGGTAAAGCAGCCAAGCGTGGGTATCGAAGTTCAACAGCGGGCTTCTCGGGACTCATGGGACCGCATCCAGCGACAACTCAACCGGTTCTGGCAACGCTGGCTGAAAGAATACCTGCTGGTGATTCGGAAGCAGACTAAGTGGTTCGACGAAGCTCGACGTGTGGAAGTGGGTGACCTTGTGCTGATAGCAGACGAAGGCAAGCGGAACGGCTGGGTGCGGGGCATCGTGATCGAATCGATCAGGGCACCAGACGGCCACGTTCGCCAAGCTATGATCAAGACAACGAGAGGAGTTCTTCGTCGACCGGTATTGAAGTTAGCGGTTCTCGACGTTAGGAATAGCAGTGCGGTCATGGAGTCCAGTGGACCGCACCCGGAGGAGGATGTTGCCACAGGGGCACTTGCTCAACCGCCCGGCGAACTGGCAACCGGTCCAATCAACTGTGCCTAGCAGACCGCCAGTCTATGTGCGACGGGATGATCGACAGCATAAACGTCACCTAAAAAAAGACGTCATCCTTTGAGTCAAGCAGACGAAGAATCACGCGGGTGAAAAGTATTTTTCTTAAACTAGTGCCTAAATAGTTCGTTTCTTAATCTAGTTTCCTATTGTTGCGTACGGTAAATAATCCCAAATCCACAGGGTGAATTTAAACCTAATTATACTGATTTCTACCTAGACTAACACTAAAACTAGGACTAAAGCTAAGTTGGACAGCCAGTGAAAAGGCCTGTGAAGGAAGGGCCACTGATTTGTAAGTGGTAACCTATAAATCTAAACCTACATTGCTAAACTAACCCTAACTTAAATTTCTAGTTTGAAGCGATCCTAAAAGGAAATAAACGCTGTTCAATAACAGTGCCGCGCCTTTTTATTTGGCCGTCCCAACACTCTTTTTTGAACGGGTTTGAGCAAAAAAATAAATATTTCAGACATAACATTTGGTAACGGCATAAAAGCATTTGTAAACAAACTTTTGAAGGCCCTTTACACGCGAACCAAAGTACGCCCACGCAAACCAACAACATCATCGGATAGAGGCAACTATCACCTTTCCAAAATTGGCATTGGTACTTTGGTTCGCGTGTAAAGGGTCTTAGAGAGATTGTTTACAAATGCTTTTGTGTCGTTATCAAATGTTATGCCTGGTTTCAGTCAAAGATGGCTTTTAAATTTATTCACCTTTCCATAAGTACCGTTGGATTTGATAATGAGCCACAAATTATTGAGATATTGTTTAAAATCTAACACTGCTTCTTGATTCTAAATTCGTCCTACGAGTTTCAATTCCGTCCAAACGCATTGAAACGCCATTAGATTTTCTTCGTCCTACGGATAAACGTAGAAAAAAGGGGATTCGCTAGGAGCGCTTCTTTTGTTTTGAGAACAATGAGCGTAAACATTTATGCGCTCTAATAGGATTTATGTTGTAGCTAATGAACTAACGCATCGGAACAAACTTATTATTGATTTATGCACGGTGAAATCATTGATATTATTGATATTTTCTGATCGATAGAACGAAAATGGGTGATTACGATGAAGTAGCGCTCTACCCTATTTAAGAAACCATTTTTTTCTTGGTTTGTTTTCCGTTGATTTGGTTTTTCATACTGAGTACCAACCAATCCTACCGGCACCAGGGATGTATCTCCCACACCAGGAACCTACCTATCGACCCATCAACTAATGGACCGGGGACTAACGGCTTTACTTCCCTTCCGAAGTAAGGCTTGATCAGAGATGCTTCAGAAAATCCTGGTGGCATCGACTGGGATTGAACCCAGGTCCTTTGGAGTGAGAGGCTGTCACGCTTACCACTATGCCGCCGGTGCTGCTTTTTAAGAACACATGACCAATGTCGATCTGGAATGCCCACGGCTGCTTTTATTAGGAGGGCCCTAATATTAATTAGTTTCAAAGTATGAATTACAAAACTTTTTCAAAATTGAGCAAAATCTCGCCAAGTGAAATAGCGAGGTCGGTGAGATTTTTCTGAGGCATAAAAACCTCTGGTCACGTCTTCCTTCGGAAGGGAAGTAAAATCGTTGGTCCCGGCTCATGTGTCTTGAATGGGTGCGATATCTTCCTGCACTTTCGAATGCCGTCAATGGATGGCAATCAATGACCGTCGGTGATTGGCACTAGATTGCGTAAGAGACCGACGTTAAATAAAAGAAAGAAGAAGACCTAACCTACTTTATACAAATGGTTTGTCAAAGCATATTCAGATATGTTGCATTTCTACACCTACCTCATCAATTTTAAAATTTAATTTAATTTTGGAACCTTTGCCTCTTGGTGGAGGTCTGAAATTCCTGTGTCAAAAGGACGATCAAGAACCATCCTCAGCACTCTATTGTGAGCGACCTGGATTTTGTTCTTGTGAGTATGTGCACATGATTCCTACACTGCCACTTTGTTCACCCTTCACCTTGAGAGGCGGGATCTGCGGCAAACCAGCGGATACAGACACCTAACCAAGTTGGAACACTTAACTACGGTTATTTTCTACATGCGAACGGAAGAGGAGCTTACTTCGGCAGACCACTCAACCCTTGTGCCATCCATGATTACAGTTCAAGATGGTGCCGGTTTTAGTTTGGGGGATTATATGTAGAGGAACATGATTGGAACAGGTGTTTGCATAATCAGTAAAGACGTTAAGGCATCGTTGAAGCTTGTTCGTTATTTCACGAGGCATCCCTCCTTTGAAGCAAAGGGCGCAACAGACTTCCTTGCAGAACACCTGCTGGGACGCAAAACGTGTCTGAAAGACAACTATTCACCGGTACCTCAAACGACCTTTGCTGAAGGTAGTTGCGGGTGATTTTAACCAGATGTGGGTAAATGGGAGGTTGAAGTTACAAAGCTTGTGTACAAGTTCGTTATACCAGACATTGTCAAACGCCTTTTCAATTTCTAGCAAGGCCATGACTGTGAACTTGGATACAGCTTTGTTACTTCGGATGTTATTCATCACCCGTACTAGCTGATGATTGGTGGAGTGTACCTTTCTGAATCCAAACTGTTCCGGAAGGAGAATGTTGTTTTCCTCGTCAAACTTGAGCAAACGAGTGAGAATGAGTTTCTCAAACAATTTGCTCATCACTGAATGGAGGCTGATCGGTCTGTAGATTGAGGGCAATGTTGGATCTTTACCGGGCTTGCGGATTGGTATGATTTTTGGTACCTTTCAGATGCTTGGAAAGTTGTGCAGCTCCAAGCATCTGTTGAAGATAGCGACAAAAAATTTTTTTTTTTTAATTTTAAATTTTAAGTTGAATATGCCGTCAAAGCCGGGAGCCTTCATGTTCTTGGTGCATTTCATCGCTGAGCAAATCTGTTGAACTGTAATCTTATCCGCCGGAGGCATGACACAAGGGGAGGCATCTAGGTTTTGAACGCATTGTGCAACCTGATCTTCGAGCGGACTTTGGTTAGTCGAGCCAACCAAATGCGATGAAACGACTTGCTCGCCGATTGCAGTTGCTTTCTCCCGTGGGGTAATTAAGAGCCGATCGTCATCAGACTGAAGAAGATGTCCTGGAATACCTCCACGAAACCTTCAACATCGAAAATTCTACGGTGCGCTGTGTGAAGCTGGTACCTAGCGGCAAACAAGTCAACGAGCTTACCTTTGTCTCCTTCAAAGTATCCGTTTCACCCGACTTGGAAACCACTGTAGGGGATTCATTCTACTGGCCTGATGGAGTAAATGTACGTGAATTTGAATCAAAAAACGACGCGGCTCCAATCAACCTACGACCACCAATACTTCCACAATAAGTTTATCGATACACTCTACATCAACTACTCGCAACTCTACGCAACTTTCATCTACTCTGGGACGCAACGGTGTTCGCCCTATGGAAGCCACCGATCCTCTCACCACAGTCGTGCCTTTCCTGCCATCGTCCATCAGTCGTCCCGGCCCTGTGTGTGAGTTTGGAAACGTGGTCTTGGACGATTGTAGACAGCTTGAACAAATTGTTGTACGAGTAACACTTCCTCACCATTCGCTGTTGATCATTGGCATCTATCTTCCCCCGAATTCCGACGCAAGTTTATATTCGGCTCACGCTACGGCTGTCCAGAACTTATCGGATCGTTCGTCGGACAATGACATTATTCTACACTTCGGGGACTACAATCTTCCTCATCTGCAATGGTGCTTCGATGAGGACGTTAATGGGTTTATACCTTCGAACGCTTCCAGTGAACAAGAAGTCAATCTCACCGAATCCATCTCTGCGTGCGGGCTGGTTCAAGTGAATTCTTATACGAACCCGAACGGTAGACTACTAGATCTAGCATTCACGAATTCTCCAGATGTCATTGAAGAACTGCGGCGACCACTTCCACTCTTATCCACCGACGCCCATCACCCACCGTTTATTTTACTAGTGGATGTGCACAGCGTCATCATAAACCACCAAATCGACGCGGATTCGGATACAAATGACCCAGATTTCAGGCAATGCAACTTTGATTCACTTAATGCCGCGTTTTCGTCGATCGACTGGCAGCTTCTTCTACATGAACACACTGTTGATGCAAACGTTATCTTGTTTTATGACAAGCTGTATGAGATTATTCACTCAATTGTTTCTCGTCGCCGTCGTATTTCAAGTTACGTCAACAGGAAGCCTTGGTGGACGGCTGAATTGCGAAATCAGCGTAATAGACTGAGGAAACCACGCAAACGATATTTCGCTGATAAATCGAACGAGAACAGAGATTTCCTTCATCTAATTGAATTATCCTATAATGAACTTCTCTCTTCAAGCTACCATGTATACATGCGTAAACTTGAATCCAACCCAAAACAAAATCCGTCGATGTTCTGGAGGTATGTTAAAAAGCAAAAGGCTAGCAATCGTGTACCGAATAACGTTATTTACGGTGATTCCATGGCCAGCACACCTGAAGATGCTGCCAATCTTTTTTCGAAATTTTTTCAAAGTGTGTTCTGTTCAACTTCTCCTGTACCTCGCCCGGATTGTTTCCAACACGTGCCATCTTATGGTATCCACCTTCCAATCTTCAGTTTTTCTTGTGACGAAGTGTTAAGTACGTTGGCTAAATTAGATGCTTCGAAAGTAGCGGGAGTCGATGGTCTGCCACCGATATTAGTGAAGAACTGCGCTGCATCTCTGGTTGAACCATTGACGTTACTGTTTAACTGTTTGTTAGAACAAAAAACGTTCCCAAGTTTATGGAAAACCGCGTCAATGATTCCTGTACACAAATCTGGCAGTTTAAACAATGTGGTAAACTATCGAGGGATTTCAATTCTCTGCTGTCTGGGAAAGGTTCTCGAATCACTAGTGCATAAGGCCGTACTGAATGCAGCGAAACCGATTATCTCTGAGTATCAGCACGGATTCATACCACACCGGTCTACTACAACCAACTTACTGTGCTATACCAACGTACTTTTCGAAAGCGTTCGACACCGTCCCGCATGCCTATGCCACAGAAAAACTGAAACACATGGGATTTCCGGATTGGATTGCGGACTGGATAAGGTCATATAAAACGGGTCGAAAGGCATTTGTGCAAGTGAACTCGTCCCGTTGCAATACGTTCGACATACCATCTGGCGTACCACAGGGTAGCGTGTTAGGACCTTTGTTCTTTGTCCTCTTTATTAATGACCTGTACCTTCGAACATCCTCTGGAAAGCTCCTTTATGCTGATGACCTCAAAATCTTCAGAATTATCGCGTCTGTACTCGATTGTATTGTACTGCAGGCTGACATCGACGTAGTGTCAATCTGGTGCAAAGAGAATGGTATGAGCGTGAACATCAATAAATGCAAAACGATCACATTTAGTCGCTGTTTGTCAACGCTCACTCACCA